AATATTACCTACTAATTATTTTTACAAGGTTCTACACTAACAAATCATCCTTTTACAATACATAAAAAAATCAAACCAAAATATTTACTAAACTGCAATAAGATAAATAATAGCACCCACTTAATTAATATTCGATATCAATAAAAATTTTGCAAAAATTTCTTACATGCAAATCGCAATAAAAAAATTATGGTATTCATTTCCGCAAAGTACCAATCGAAACCGGAAATGAGTTCAATACAGATAACAATGTTTATGGACCACATTATAAAAGTGGAAACGGATGAGTTATTTTCACCATTCTCGAAATGCACCTCCAGCAAGCACTAGCCCTAAAAGGGCTATTGTTGGTGTTAATTTCTCATCAAGTGGTCGCCCAGCCTGTGGAGTGTCAGAAATGCGTGAAACAGGATCCACACACGTGCGGTCTTGGTTATCTCGTGCAAGTTTTGGCCAGTTTGGCAAGTCAACATCAAACCAATGTTATCGATCAAGATTTAGTCGACAAACTAAAATGCATGTTAGACGAAGACGCCAGAGATGATTGTACTACTACTACTATAGGTTCTACTACTGCTGAAACAACACCTGCTGATACTACGACTGTTGGACCTACCACTACACCTGAAGAATCTACTCCTACCGAAACTACTACAGGTGAATCTACCAACACACCTGAAGAATCTACTCCTACAGAAACAACTACTGGTGAACCTACCACTACAACTGAAGAATCTACTCCTACAGAATCAACTACGGGTGAACCTACCACTACAACTGAAGAATCTACTCCCACAGAATCAACTACGGGTGAACCTACTACTACAACTGAAGAATCTACTCCTACAGATTCAACTACGGGTGAACCTACCACTACAACTGAAGAATCTACTCCCACTGAATCAACTACGGGTGAACCTACCACTACAACTGAAGAATCTACTCCCACTGAATCAACTACGGGTGAACCTACTACTACAACTGAAGAATCTACTCCCACTGAATCAACTACGGGTGAACCTACCACTACAACTGAAGAATCTACTCCTACAGAATCAACTACGGGTGAACCTACCACTACAACTGAAGAATCTACTCCTACAGAATCAACTACGGGTGAACCTACCACTACAACTGAAGAATCTACTCCTACAGAATCAACTACGGGTGAACCTACCACTACAACTGAAGAATCTACTCCCACAGAATCAACTACGGGTGAACCTACTACTACAACTGAAGAATCTACTCCTACAGATTCAACTACGGGTGAACCTACCACTACAACTGAAGAATCTACTCCCACTGAATCAACTACGGGTGAACCTACCACTACAACTGAAGAATCTACTCCTACAGAATCAACTACGGGTGAACCTACCACTACAACTGAAGAATCTACTCCCACTGAATCAACTACGGGTGAACCTACCACTACAACTGAAGAATCTACTCCTACAGAATCAACTACGGGTGAACCTACCACTACAACTGAAGAATCTACTCCTACAGAATCAACTACGGGTGAACCTACCACTACAACTGAAGAATCTACTCCCACTGAATCAACTACGGGTGAACCTACCACTACAACTGAAGAATCTACTCCCACAGAATCAACTACGGGTGAACCTACTACTACAACTGAAGAATCTACTCCTACAGATTCAACTACGGGTGAACCTACCACTACAACTGAAGAATCTACTCCCACTGAATCAACTACGGGTGAACCTACTACTACAACTGAAGAATCTACTCCCACTGAATCAACTAGGGGTGAACCTACCACTACAACTGAAGAATCTACTCCTACAGAATCAACTACGGGTGAACCTACCACTACAACTGAAGAATCTACTCCTACAGAATCAACTACGGGTGAACCTACCACTACAACTGAAGAATCTACTCCTACAGAATCAACTACGGGTGAACCTACCACTACAACTGAAGAATCTACTCCCACAGAATCAACTACGGGTGAACCTACTACTACAACTGAAGAATCTACTCCTACAGATTCAACTACGGGTGAACCTACCACTACAACTGAAGAATCTACTCCCACTGAATCAACTACGGGTGAACCTACCACTACAACTGAAGAATCTACTCCTACAGAATCAACTACGGGTGAACCTACCACTACAACTGAAGAATCTACTCCCACTGAATCAACTACGGGTGAACCTACCACTACAACTGAAGAATCTACTCCTACAGAATCAACTACGGGTGAACCTACCACTACAACTGAAGAATCTACTCCTACAGAATCAACTACGGGTGAACCTACCACTACAACTGAAGAATCTACTCCCACAGAATCAACTACGGGTGAACCTACTACTACAACTGAAGAATCTACTCCTACAGAATCAACTAGGGGTGAACCTACCACTACAACTGAAGAATCTACTCCTACAGAATCAACTACGGGTGAACCTACCACTACAACTGAAGAATCTACACCTACAGAAACTACTACGAATGAATCTACTACTCCTCAAAACACCACAATTTCTGAACCTACCACTACACCTGAAGGAATTACTCCCGACAACCCTACAACTGTTGAACCTAGCTCACCAGCTGGACCTGGCTCTTCGCCTGGAGTAACAACACCTGGTCAATCGAGTAGTGTAGATGTAGTAGTAACTTTCGTAAGGGGAACTTTGCCTTCGTTCCTACAAATTTCACCTGAGGATACCACAACTCCTGAACCTGTATCTCCACCTGTACTAAAAATAGAACACTTCGTAAGGGATCCTTTACCTCCGCTCACAGAAAGTTCACCTAAAGAAACTTCAACTGATGAACCTACTACTTTTCAACCATCTCCATGATCGGATCGTGAACACTTAACATGAAGAAACTACAACTGAAGAATCAATTCAAAATCTGACGGTCCAAAAAGGTATTGAAGATTAGAATCAACAGTAGCAGATGAATAATATTAGAAGAAGATACACCAATTTCGATTAATTTAAACTTAATTAAAACCAGTAAGTTTTAAATTATTACATAATTTTTTACTTATTATATGACACTTACTTTCAAAATTATCGCTAACGTGATTACAGTAGTTCTTCTATTATTATTTTTCTACTACATATTACAAAACAAAACATACCAATGTAACATTATCAATACCGAATAATATAATCAATAAAAAATTCGCCTATTTGTTATGTGTTTAATATGCAATTCCCCAAAGGTCAATGAATCGCAGCGACCGTGATTAATTAGTAAATAAACCATATTTACATTTCCTCCTTAACGAAATGAATTAACTTCCCAATATCTAGTAAATACGGAACTCCGAAACTGTATAAAAATACTTCCACGCATCCAAAGTCCGCACTCAACGTCCAGTAATGCAGGCCCACGCAGCAGCAGCCCTCCTGGGCTTGGTCATCCTCTCCCTAACCCACACGGCCGTCGCGGCGCCCGCCAAATGCTGCAACGTGCCGCACGTGGCGCCCTCCCAGCAATCCTGCCTGCTGGGCCATCTCATCCAGATCCTCACTCACCTGGTCAACAACCAGCAGGACCCGGTCAGCGCCAAAGACTTCATCCACAAGCTCGAGGAAATCTGCACGGAGACGTGCGAATGTCCCGATCCCACCACGCCGGATTGCATCACCGATGAGAGCACCACGGAGGAATCTACCACGGAGGAATCTACTACGGAGGAGTCTACTACTGAGGAATCTACTACGGAGGAGTCTACTACTGAGGAATCTACCACGGAGGAGTCGACTACGGAAGAATCCACCACTCAAGAATCCACTACTGAAGAATCTACAACGGAGGAATCTACTACGGAGGAGTCCACAACGGAGGAATCCACAACGGAGGAGTCCACAACGGAGGAGTCCACAACGGAGGAGTCCACAACGGAGGAGTCCACAACGGAGGAGTCCACAACGGAGGAGTCCACAACGGAGGAGTCCACAACGGAGGAGTCCACAACGGAGGAATCGACGACTCAAGAATCGACTACAGAGGAATCCACGACCGAAGAATCTACTACTGGAGAATCAACTACTGAGGAATCCACTACAGAGGAGTCGACTACTGAGGAATCCACTACTGAAGAATCCACTACTGAAGAATCCACCACAGAAGAATCCACCACAGAAGAATCCACCACAGAAGAATCCACCACAGAAGAATCCACCACAGAAGAATCTACTACTGAAGAATCAACCACTGAAGAATCCACCACACAAGAATCTACCACAGAAGAATCTACCACTGAAGAATCCACTACACAAGAATCCACTACTGAAGAATCCACCACAGAAGAATCCACCACAGAAGAATCCACCACAGAAGAATCCACCACAGAAGAATCCACCACAGAAGAATCTACTACTGAAGAATCAACCACTGAAGAATCCACCACACAAGAATCTACCACAGAAGAATCCACTACAGAAGAATCCACCACAGCAGAATCTACAACTGAAGAAGTGATAACAACAACAACGCCTGTGCCTTGTCATGAGCTGTGCTTCGTCCCGATTTTGAAAGTTAACGGGCCATGTTTGACGACTTCGCAGTTGCAGGATTACATTTTCAATTTGTTTTCGCAAGGAAAATTCGTAATACCGTAAAAATTTGTAGATAATTACATTGGGTGCGTAATAGAAGAAAATTAACTTACAAAAAAAATAGCAAAACACACGAATAAATTGGTAGATAATTTTATTTTATTTTTGTTATGGAAGACTGTGATATTTTAATATTTAAATAAAAAAAAACCCTCTTTTTGTCGACAATATTGGAAATTTTATTTCTTTAATAAAAACATCAGCACCTTTCCAGGAAATTATAATACATAATTTGAACTCAAACATGACTCTTAGTAGGTACACTCAAATTTACCAAACTGATTCAAACCCACCATCTCCATTAACCCCAAAAACCGCTCTATATCTCCCCCCGCTAATCCAATCCAAATAACAGCTAATTTCCGGATTTCCTTCCAGCGGAAGTTGCTTCGAGGGCCAATGGCAGAACGGCAAACGACACGGCCTGGGGGTGGAAACCCGCGGCAGGTGGATATACAGGGGTGAGTGGACGCAGGGCTTCAAGGGCCGCTACGGGGTCAGGCAATCCAACACTTCCACCGCCAAATACGAGGGCACCTGGGCCAATGGGCTCCAAGACGGCTACGGATCGGAAACCTACGCTGATGATGGTGAGTTTAGATTGAAATATTTTTGATGAAACAGCTAGAGTATAGGGTACTAGAGTGTACTAGAGTGTGCTAGAGTTCTACAGTGATTCTAGAGAGTCTAGGTTGTTTGGAAATCTAGAGTACTAGAGAGTTTAGGGTGCTGGAGTATCTAGAGCGCTGGAGAATCTAGAGTGCTGGAGAATGTAAGATGCTAGAGAATCTACAGGGTGACTCATAAGTTGATACTGTTTTTTAACTGCATATGGAACTTTGATTTCTATAAGCAACTTTTTCAAGTAATTTTATTTATATTCTGGAAAATAAAAAAGTTGGAAATTTTTAAATATTTTTTAAATTTCGAATATTTTCCAATACGTACCTGGCATTACCATACATTAATAATAAATAATTAATGACAAAAAATTAATTTTTCGATTGTTGAACTAAAAATGGCTCATTTTTATACAAATAATGAATTGGTGGACATTCTGATTATTTATGGAGAGTGTTTCCAATCAAAATGGCGACAATTTTGAGCAGTTCCTTTAACTTTTAATGAACAGGACCGTATTAACTAACTTTTTAATAATTGTAAATTAAAAAAAAACATGCTCTCTTATTTTCCAGAATAATAAAAAATTGTACTGGAAAAAGTTGCTTAGAATTAAAAGATCTCTACGCAGTTGAAAAATGTATCAACTTATGAGACACCCTGTATAATGCTAGAGAATCCAGAGTGCTAGAGAGTTGCCAGATAATCTTTATATCACAAAATATGTTTAGTTTCAACTGGTTTTATATATTTTTTATCCCCAATCGCCCGTTGTCCTCCTGGTTTATTTCCCTCTTAGAACGCGTTTTTGGTCCCTTTAACTGCAAATAAAACCTCACGGTTGGCAGTAAATCGCATTTCGCGCCATCAATCCCGAGACCTCGCAGTGTCAACCGGCAAGAGAGGACTCCCCGGGCGCGATAAGTTTGCCCTTCTGCTCCTCCTCGCCTGCGACCGGTCGAATGGAGGATTTACAATCGCCGGGGGAGCGGCGATAATTCGCTGTTGCAGGTCCCCCGCGGCGGGGTAAACATCGGACAAACTGTAAACATGTCCTGGAGAGTGGGCTTCGAAGTACACAAACGCCCATCATCGGGGGAATCCCGGCGAAGAAGCCGCGCCGTCGAAACCGAATTCTTTTGTGTGTGGAAAAAATTTTAAAAATGTAGATGTAGTTCTATTTCGGGAAATTGGCACACGCGTTACGGACGTTGAGCTAATAATAAAACTATACCATCATTTTCATTATAATTTTAATTTTATTTAACGCCATTACTCGAAATGTTTATCGCCTATCCGCCTCATATTATTTTTTCCTCTCGCGTCGCCTTTATCGCTCTCTATTCTCCCCCAAGTTCGCTTCGCGATAACGGGTCGCACTTAGTTCGGGCTCTCCAATTAAGCCGGCCCGATAAAATGATAATAAAACGAAGAATAAAAAAAAACCGTTCGGGCGGTTATTTATAAGCACGAAATTCAGTTACTGCCTTGCCAATTGAACGGCTATGTTGTAACACTAAAAGCATTTTGTACACGTTTTGTGTTTACGATAGCGATATGACTTCATTTTTAAATTCTACCGGCTAGAGATGGAAAGCTATACGTTACGAAAATTACCTATCGCGCGAATTTCGCGTACGTCAAACGTCGTTACTGTCAATTTTTGACAGCTGAGCTTACAGACAGAAAGTTGCCTATGCATCTGAGTACGCGTTGTAAGTTCTAAGTTGACAGTAATGACGTTTGATTTGGGCGCGAAATTTGAATTATTTAATACATTTTTCTGTATTTATTTTAGAGTTTTGTTGGAAAATGTTTGGAAATGATTCATGCGCGTAGGAATGTTTTTCGAAAAATTTGAACAATTTAAAGAAACAAACACTTCATTATAAAATAGAAAGATTCAAAGAGAGAGGTAGGTAATTCGGGTTCGTTTATTGGAGATGTTTGGAATATTCCACGTAATTAATTCGCGTCAAAATAATTTGTTGTGGCCGAGCGGCGGCGATCGATAATTCAATTTATATTCAAATTTCGCTCGAAGAAACGCGCCCCTGGCTCGACCCGGTTTGTTTTCCTTTCGCTTCGAAACCCGAAAAAATACTCGCGAAATTTTTTATCCACGTAAATTCGTCAAAAACCACTGTCCAGAATCCCGATCGCCTCTTTCCAGAACACCCGGCAAATTCGCCGCCCTTGAACGCGCCCCGCGAAGGGATCGCGTGACGCCGCCTTCTGTCGTCCGGAGAATTGAAACAATCTGGATATGGCATGTGCTCAGCGCGGGTAAATATTGATGAACATCGGTTAGATAACCATCGCAGACCGACAAAAACGAAAGTACACACCGCATAAACTGAATTATTGAGGTTTTCACGACAGGTTTTCCTTTCGATAAAAACGAACTGTTTCGTAACTCGCAGGTAACGACGCGTCCTTGTCGAGTTCTCAATGTTAGATAACATCGAGCATTACCGCACGATTTCACTCTGGACAGCAATTGATATTTTTTCCAGAACACATTTCACGTGCCAGACGCGCTTATTCTGACGTTTATTCGCTCAATTAGTCCTGTTTTCTTACGTGTATTATCCTTGTATATTTTCATTTAATAGACCTATGGATCATGAACCAAGGACCTGTGGATCTATGGACTTAATGACCTCTAGATCTATGCATCATCTGGATCTATTGACATGTAGAACTATGGAACAAAGGACCAATAGACTGTAGAACTAGGGATCTATGAACTTCTGAAACTATGAATCCTGGATCGATAGATTTGTGGACCTATTGACCTGTAGAACTAGGCGTCTATGGACCTATGAAACAATGAATCAAGAACCATATGGATCTTAAGACCCATTGCCCATAGATTTATAAACCTTATATTGCGACGCACTGGGTATATAATTCAAATTTACATGCCTTAGTTTGTGATCAATCAGGCGAATATATGTATATGCAGACATCATCTGGAACATGCAGATAGAGTGCATCAATAACGAGACTTCAACGCCAATAACCCTATCCATCAATTTCCCTCGGGCAGAAACAGGACCAGTCGGAAAACATTCCGATTCCGAGCGTTCCCTATTTCGAATTCCATTCGATGTAAAACGGGATTGCCGACATTTGACGTCGCGAATCGAACCAGAAATATATCGAAAGTCTAGCGATTCCAGTTCCTCGGGCTGTTTACCGACTGCAGAAACTTTCCGCGTATTATACCGGCGGAATATAGCGAAGTGTCCGGATCGGAAAGCGTCTGGACGCATTCTGGATAACGATTTTGCATTCCCGACTGCATAGCGGTCGCGGGAAAAACGGTAAGCGGGTCAAAGCGCCGCTAAAATAGAGAGCCGTCGGGGCGTCCGGCGGCGTCGGTTCGCGTCGACGTCTCGAATTGGGCCGCGTTCGCGCCCATCCGGGCCGTCGACGGCGGCGCCTCGACGACAAACCGAGAGGTATGGGGCTTATTGACCGGCGGATTGTTTACAATATCATACACTTTTTTTTTAACTTTTTTATCGGATGGATTCGGATTTGTCCAGTGGAAATTTAGGTGAGCGAGGCGAATCGATTCGGAGATTTGAAGGGAAATGATGAGGTATATTTCGGAGGGGTTGTATAGATAAATTAAATCCGGTTGTGAATTGGGCGATTGAGTGAGAAATTGGATATTTGCAGTTAAATTCCGGGGATTTGGTATCATCAAATTCGTGGGGTTTTTTTCGATTTTTCGGCTCTTTTTTTAAAAACGACTCGAGTTAATTGCCGATATCAGGTGGGGTTTTTCCAGTTTTCGTTTTCTACCGCGTCCTGGACGCGTGCCAGACGCTTGCCAAGGTTCAAGTATAATTCGACGGTTTAAAAACCGTTTTGTATTTCTATTTCGGGCGATTAAAACGGATTATCGGTTATTAAAGAAATTCGCCGTTCGAAAAAAAAAAAAATCCGAACCCCCGAATAAACGCTGGATGAATTCGACTCGAGAGGATATTTCTTGACTCACGTTTATGTGCATATCCGCGCACTATTTCTCGCTACATTTATCGCGAAAACGCTCTCTATTCAGTCGCGAAAAGGGGTGGAATTATTCACGGGTTATTCGTGTCGGAAAATAGCACCACTTACATTTCAACCCCTTTTCAAAAGGGCTTCATCGGAAGGAGCTTTTCCATCAGAACGTTTCCTGCTAGAAAAATTACACCGTGGTTTTGATAATAAATCAAAACCAAACACACCTCTATTTATTCAACTCTTTGTTATTTTTTACTCAGTATTGTTCAAACAATTAATTTTATTCTTGACTCAAAACTGGATACATTTGAACAACATTTCTACAACACTTGTGGGCTTCATTTAGACTACAAGTAGAATATACTAGTTCATCTACGACATCAAATAATATCGAACAATGCTACTCAAACTAGTAATTTGAGGGTATTAGAACTCGGGGAGGGTCGTTGGGGGTGGTTCCACAGAGCCTAATTGACTACAATTTGTCGAACCCGCCGTCGCAATAAAGTCCTGTTGAAGCGTCCTTGGCCCGGAATGCGCCGGATCGATTAAAAAATCCTAACATCGCACCAGGATAATAAAGTCTGCAGTTACATCCCCCAACGAAAACAATCCCGCCTCAGGATAATCGATCAATTGCGACTCGCACAAACACGAATCCAAGGTCCACTATCAAAACAACCCCCTAGACATATACACCATGTCCTAATAAATTCCACCCTTTTACCATTACAATGAGTTCCGAAATACACACACTCAAAAATGTTTTGCTTAAAAGAATAAATATTTAATATAACGAAATATTTGTAATGTTACTTATCAAAATTAGTTTCTTTATCGATTACCAAAAGGCATAAAAATCATTTAAAATTAACAAAAAACAGTTACTCAAAAGAAATTTTATATAATACACAGTTAGTGACATTTCAACTAATATGCAAAACATTTTTGAGTATGTGTAGTTTTTTTAAAGTTGGTCTTGAACAATTTTAGGACATCCTGTACCAGGGGCAGTATCCTACCCCCTCATTTGCACTCTTTTACTATCATAATGAGTACTAAAACACTTCTTAAAGTGGATCTTAAACCATCATATAGGACACTCTGTGTATCTCTATTTTAACTAGTTCTTTTTCTGTAATTTCCAGGGACGTACCAGGGTCAGTGGATGCGGGGCATGCGGCACGGCTACGGCATCCGCAAGAGCGCCCCCTTCGGCAAGGCGTCGAAGTACAGGGCGAACAAGACGCTGCGGGCGTCGCTGACGTCGCTGCGCAGCAACGAGGGCCCCCAGGGGGGCCCGAACACCGAGCTGACGGACAAGCGCGACCGCAGGGTGGACGATTCCAGGGGCGGGTTCGTGCTGAAGATGAGCAGCGCCGAGCCGACGGCGCGGCGGCGCTCCTTGGGCAGCGGCAACGTGAAGAAGGGGCTGTTTACGGTAAATTTCGCTTTCATTCGCGTGGATAGTTTGTGGATAATGGAGGTTTTTTCAGGGGTTGAAGTTGAAGAAGCAGAGGAGTACGGGGGATTTGGAGAAGAGGGGCGGTTCGGGGAGCATCAGGTCGACGGGGTCTTCGGCTTCTTGGGTTAGTACTGATTCGGCGCAATCCGCCATGACGAATGCTTCCATACCGTCGGATTCCAACGCTAGTTTTGTCATAGAGGTACGTAGAATGTCGCTATAGAAATTAGCGATTCGTAAAAATACTCCTGTATATCTTGTTAAATGTACCGAGCACAGCGAAAAGAAATTACAACACACAATAAGCTAATTAAATTTCCCGACACTCACAACAAACTAATCAATGCCAAATGCTCGGGATCAGTTTATACAGAATGTCCCGTGGATGAATTGTTCTATATCCACATCGAATTTTTTTATAAACTCATCATTTTTAATAAGAAAACTATAAATATTTCGCGGTTTTCAGTTCGTCATATTTCCGGATGCCGAAAAAAGTTCGCGAGAAAAATCCATTACATCCGGTACAGCGATTTAACTGCACGCAAAGATAATAATAGATAAATAAATACAACCGCATAACAAGGATTATCCGAAATAAATAGTCAAGGTCGGCTTTGGTCGGCCGCCAAAAAGTGAATATGAATTTCGTAATGATGCATATACATATCTCTTTATAGTCATTCCCTGAGGGTGGCCCGACCAAAATCCTCCTTTTCACAAGGATATTAATTGCATTTTGTATAGATTTGTGGAGAAGTTTCAATGCTCAATATTATATTTTGTACAATTACAAATACCCAATATCTTATGGAGAAAATTGTTTCTAAAATAACGCTTATTTTGTAACAGTCGTTACTGCACCTCTATACCAAAAAATCAATTCCCACCTCTATTAAACTTCTGTCATACGAAATGTCAATTTTGACATTTTTCCATTATGGCCGCTTATTTTAAATCTTAACCACGGCCGTATATTTCTAAGGTCTGGAAACAGCCTAAGCTTATGCATTAGAGAATGTATCCCGTTATTTGAACACTTTTTGATCGTTATTTTGAAGACTTATCCCAGCCAATCAGCGTCGCGCTACATATAAATCGCGGTTGTGAGACGACAGTTCGAGCTGTCAAAACTTCAAAAATTATTTTTCGACATTTCGAGGAGAAAATGGAGAAATACATTAACCGAAGATACGTAAGGAATGATGTTAACAACAAAATCATCGCTGATTTAGGTATATTTTTATATTTTGCATCTATTTTTAGTTTGAATAAAACCTTTCTTAATATTAATTCTATATAATTCGTACGCAAAAAATCGTGGTCCTTTACAACATCGCCTCCTAGCGGCCGTTTTAGGAACCCTGATTTATCCTCAAATAACGGGACACTTTTTCGACCTATGCATCCAGACCTTAGAAATATAGAGCCGTGGTATCATCGAACGCATTTTAAAATCCCACTTATTCGCGCACAAAGCAAAAAATAGTAATAGATTAAAATTTGGGTAGTTTCGGTGCCGTTTTAGTAGCTAATTGGGCAACCCCACTCAACTTTGTCACAAATCGTAACTCATAATTACAATTTCTTGCTTGTTGTACACCTTGGTTGATACCTGTAGATAGTACTATTGTGTACAAATTAGCATTTATTGGTTAGCTACAGTGAGGTTGATTTGATTTCCAGGACGAGACGATGGACCCCAGCGTGGTGGAGACCTACATGGGCGAATGGAAGAACGACAAACGTTCCGGCTACGGCATCAGCGAGCGCTCCGACGGTCTGAAGTACGAAGGCGAATGGTACAACAACAAGAAGTACGGCTACGGCGTGACGACGTTCAGCAACGGCGAAAAGGAAGAGGGCAAGTACAAGAACAACGTGCTGATCACCAGCCAAAAGAAGAAGCTGTTCCTGATGCGCAGCGCCAAGTTCCGCGAGCGCATCGACGCGGCGGTGAACGCCGCCCAGCGGGCGTCGAAGATCGCCCTGCAGAAGTCCGACATCGCCATCAACAGGACGGCGACGGCGCGCGGCAAGGCCGAGCAGGCCGACATCGCGGCGGCCCACGCCAAAGAGGACTCCGACATCGCCGAGAACGTGGCCAAGCAGTACGCGCCCGACTTCAAGCAGCCCGGCCTCGAGCGGCTGAAGGCCAGGCAGAACAAGTTCAGGGAGATGCAGCTGCAGCAACAGCAACAACAGAAACAAAGCCTCGATGCGGACCAGAACGCCAACGTCAACAGCGTCAATGCGAAGTCGCCCAATCAGATGCCCAATCAAGTGCCGAACGCCAAGAGCGGCTGGGCGAATGCGAACCAAATCTCGCAGAACAATCCGTATCCATCCTCGCAGTATAACGACGTTAGCAGTAAACCGAACAATCCGTATAAAAATCCTGCTGCGGGATTCAACGATGTATCGTCCGGCGGGCACAATCCCGACAACGTGACGCAGGATATCGGCTTCAAAACGACCAATCCGGACATCGGTTTCAAAATGCCTAATTCAGACATCGGCTTCAAGCCGTCTATGTCGCCTAGAAATTCGATACCCATCGACGACAGCATGCAGGCCAGCGCGCTGCGCAGAATGAGCCGGAGAGTCTCCGGCGACAGACCCTACTTGGGTAACATTGGACAACAAAGTTCCATAGACCACTTCGACCACTACAAGAGGCCGCCCAGCAGAGATTCCAGCGTTGACAGGTACGCCTATTGCACCCCACCGACTCGAGCAATATCTAATTTTCGCTTCGTTTTTGCAGATATTCCAGGGCGACGGGTCGACTGAGCAACGCGATGGGCTCCCGGCAACCCTCCGTCGATCGAACGTCGGGGAACCATCGGACGGGGGAAACGCCCGATCGGACGTTACGAGCGCCTTCTATCACCAGGGGATCCACCCCGGCGCCCGCTAATCCGGGCAATCCCGCCCAGAAGAACGGCTCCGTCATGACGGGCAGCGCCGCCAAGATGAGCGCCAATACAGGTCGGGAATTTTGCTTTTATATTGCTTCTTATAATGATTGTAATACGCTAGATAATGGATTTAGAATCTGGTGTCTCTAAATTTCAAGACTTGGTTATTTATGATGTTTAATATCTTTTGTATATCATTGTTCCAGAACTTGTTATTTCATGATTGTAGGATCTTGTATCTCAAAATTCTAGGACCTGATGTTCCATGATTCTAGGTCCTGCTATCTCATTATTCCAGGACCTGATATTTCATGCTTCTTAGTACCTAGTATCTCTTTATTCCAGGACTAATATTTCATAATTCTATGACCCGGTATCCCATTATTCCAGGACCTGCTGCCTCTTGCTTAAGAACTAGATATAACCAACTTTTTTAGCGATTTTCCAGTGCTTGTGACAGAAGAATGTGATTTTCTGTTTACAGCAAACAGTACTTCAGCGGTGCCTCCGTTCGAGGATATCATAATGAGGAAGAGGGGGCTCGGGCAGGACATCGTGCCGTCTCCCAATCAGCCGAAGAGGACGGAAAGTTTGTTTATACCGGGACAACAGGCCGGTCAAGCCGGCGCCGGAGGCGGTGGCAAAATTAATTCCCCGCAGGTCGGTGCTTTTGATACTTCTAACGTATTTTTATTTCTGTTTGAAAACACTGGCTTGGGTCCGTAACGCTGGTTATGGATGGTAATTTTGAAGCTTGGTTTTGTTGTAACTTTTTTGGCTTTGTTTAATCAAATTCCGCTGTAATTTAATTGGGAAACTTTGGCTGTTTTGGAGTGGGAAATTTGATTAAATTTTTCGGCGGCGAGCCGAGAGCATTGATTTGAAAATAACTAAAAGTTGATCTATGACTTAACGCATCTGTTAACCTGGGTTTCCAGACTTCATTAATACCAGATTTTTTTTTTCGAAATTTATTTTTACCGCGAAAAATTCGCGACATTTCCTGCGCCAAGCGCGCGTTTATTACTCGCGAGAAATTTTTTTATCTGCTATTTAATATTCCAAAAGGAAATTGCGAGATTTGCGTTTAGCGAGTAAATTCTCGAAATATCATAAAAATAAAAAAAACCTCAAGTATTTCTAATTTTACTAGTCCCTGAACACTTATTCATTAACATTGACGTTTCGGTAAGCGTTTATTTTAGGAAATCCCGATTCTTCGCAAATCTGGATAGAGTTGGAAAACTGCTAGCACATAATAAAAGAAACAATAACTTAATTGCAACCTCACGAACGTTACAGAACAAACCGGATCGCCTTGCCAAAACCCGTTTTTCTCTCGCACAATTGCGTAACCGACACTTACCCGTCGCCCATCCGAATGAATCATTTTTCCCATTTTCCTTAACCCGAAAATTCCAAAAAAAACACACACACACTCCTCATAAACGTAGCATTGACCAAACAAATCCGAACCCATTCAAAACTCTATAATCTAATTTTAACCACCGGTTATTTTGATCTCCCGTTACTTAACCAGGATTTAGCAACGGCGTCATCTCACCGCGTTATTTAACCAACCCCTACTAGTAGTAATTTCAGATGATACCCGCCATTTTAATTTTTAACCACCCGTTATTTTAAACTCCTATTGAACCTTCCACTTTGTTACTTAACCAACCCCTAGCGAATAAAATCGATATATCACAGGATTCTCCAATTCTCAAACCATCGCACAATTCCCCGTTGGTTAACAATCGGTTAACTAACCGCCGGTTAAAAATTAAAAATCCCCTTCTCCGTCGCGTTAGTCACAGGTTGGAGCGTCTCCAAACGGCGGGGCGCCCACCTCGCGCGGGCCGCCGCGACGCCGACCGCGACGCAGTGTTATCGCGGTTATCGCAGTTATCGCGGCGTCGGATGAGACGCCCGTCGCGGTCGCAGCCGGTGGTGCCTTCGAGGACATGAAGTGGTTCCAAGCAGGCGACGAGGAGGAGGACGATGAGGACCTCATGTGCTCGCCCGCCCTGCTGGCCAGGCGGGCTTCAGAGAGCTGGATCGAATCGCCCCCCGTCGAGGTCTATATAACGCTATATATATTCGATATATACAGGGTGTTGTTTATTGGAAAGGGGATAGAAGTGTTAGAGGGTAGAGGAAATAGATTATTGGATAATTGGTAGGATGTATTTTGAGGCATCTTTTGAGGTAAAAATCACCTCCATATTGACCTCTTTCCTTAGCGATCACAACCCTTGAAAATTGTATAGGGAATAGAGGTTGTGTAATGCATCATTAGCAAGGTTGTCTTTTTCTAAAAATCTATTTTTTCTACCCGAAACCACCTCTAAATCTGCCATCCTGTATACAAGAATTTAAACGCCGCGTGAATTTTATTTGATGCTCGACTGTTGTATATGAAAGTGCGTTTGAACAAGAATATTTTCAATGTTGTCGCGTCCGCTGATGGTCATGGATGCGTTCCAAGTTTTTTTTTCCTCTCCGCGGCATTATAAAACAGATAAATACCCGTATCGACTAAAAATAAACCGTCGAATACAAATGGTTTTGCATTTAGGCGACGTCGAAACCGTTGCATTAGTTTCGAATAAATCGAAGCATTCTCCCGGATCCTTTCTGCTGATGGTGTAACTGTTTGGTTCCGTTGTGTCGCTGGCCCGCCATATTGTTGTATATCGTTTTTCAGAACCTGGTGACGCAGACGTCGCTGCAGCGGAAAAAGTCGCTGCCCGACTTCCAGGACCTGCCGAGGAAGACGGGGCCGATGTCCAGAGAGGAGGTGTCCTACTTGGGTTCGGCGCGCCGCGAGGAGATCCGCCGGCAGCAGGACGAGCACGAGCGGCTGCGGGCCAATCCCCTGCTTTACCTAGTCAGTCCCCAAGTCAAGGTAGGAAGCTGCGAGTGTGGCGCCCTCGTCGGCCGACTCTCGACTCTATGTTATATCGGGATCGATTCCAAACTAACGAGCTTTTTGTTTTCTTCGAAGTCTATTGTGAATTAGATCAACTTTTAGTATGTGTTGTGTCCGTTCCTGCTGTCTTTTTTTGCAGTAAAATGTGTACAAGATTTTGCCGTACACGCATAATAAATTTAACTAACCAGCTTCTTGAATACCCGGTATAGTTTGGTTTCGGAGAAAGACACGATAACACCGATTTCGAACTGTATATGCTAATAGACTATAGAGAAATTTAGTTGAAGATAACAGTACGATAAATTCGCATGTATAATTTGTCATCTTGGGTGAGAATACAGAGTATATTTGAATGTAAAATACAAGGTGTTAATTAATGTTATGTATTTATTATAATGGGTGATTCTTGGGCGAAAAGTTCATAATGAAGGCATGTCTTGATCAGCTTGGTTTTAAAATTTAAATTAGCCCAAGAATCCAAACACCAAAGATATTGGATTGCTATAGAAATTGTGCTGAAACTAACAAAGAAACCAGAGGATAGTTTGGAGATAAAATGGGTTAGGAATCTTAGCAGGAGAGAATAGATATAAAGCATCTTAAGCAATCAATTGCTCTGTGTTTCGCAGAAACTATACTTGCTAAATTTTGCTCTACTGGATACTAAAAATCGCCTTGCACTAAATCTCTTCTTCCGTTCGACTTTACCTAGGTTTTATCTGAGACGAGATAGAAAAAACCTGCTGATATCGTAACGGCACCGGTACCAGTACCGCTGCCGTTACTGCGACCCAAACGAAACAACCAGTAAATACTTATGTTTTTTATGTACTTTATCTGTTTCCCCCGCTATCGCATTACAGAGATCCGATAGGTACGTTAGCCCTATAGTACAGTTATTTGTTCATCTGCTATTTATCCGTGTGCATCATCACGCTGAGTTTCGGGCGAGTTTTGTCCATTTTGGCGGCAGGAAATCTCCACGCTGCGCCGTTTATTCGAAATCCTGCTGCGATTTCTCCCGGTTAATCGCGGAAATGGAAATGGACGAAACTCGCTATATCCAGTTTTTATGCGTAATGTTACTGTGTAGGTTAGGTTGTTGGAGCAATCGATGTGTTATTTCGGGTAAAAATTATACAGCTTTAAAGGAAAATATGCTTGTAATTTCGAGGATTCTGTAGAGAACGAAGCGCTGTATAATTTTTATTTATTTTATTTGTTTGAATGATTTGTTGTAAATTCCATGTCTCTGTAGGTAACTTACCTAGGTCGAGTCTAACAAGGCAAATTTTAGAGATGTCCTGCGATATTGCGGAAAAAATTCGGACGTCCCGTGTACATATTTCCAAAACCCCGCATGATTTGCTTCTGTTGCACGCGTCCTTGCACGATGAATGTTCCCACAAAAATCCCGGTAAATTATCGGTTTTACGAGACGAAAACCGCCGTTCTGGCGGCCTTTGGCGCTCGCTCAAAAATGTATTTTTCGAATTTCCGCGCCGAATTGGAACGAGCCGACAAAAGATCATCTCCGAGATCTCGCGCTATTTGCTATTTCACCAGGTATTATGCGAAATCGGGGCCGGATTTTCCATTAGGCAACTGCCCTGGGAACTCTCAGATGGTTACTCCAGCCCTGTGCAAGAATGCCTTATACAGTGTGTTTAATTAATAAGTGCGCAAAACTTCAGGGGGTGATTCTGCATAGAAAAATAATGAAATTTTGCTATATAAATATATGTCCGCAAATGCTTCGTTTTCGAGATACGGGGTGTTAAAGTTTCTTCTTAAGAACTGAAGATTTATTTATTTCTCTGAAACCAGACGAGATATTCAAATGAAATTTGGTGGGTTTCGAGAGGTGACTATTACGCATTTGTTGACATAAAATTAAAAATTTTATCTTCATCATTGACGCGTATACGGGTAATAATAAAATTCTTTTAAAGAAAAAAATAATATTGGTACGCCACTGAGGCATTTTTATTGAAAATTCAATTATGAATGAATTCCTCGTTCAATTTGTGACAAAAAAACTCTCTTGTGTTTTTTTCGTACGGGTCGCTGTTTTCGAGTAAAAAAATAAAATATCTTGACGTGTATTTTTCATTTCCTCAATACACGTTATTTAGTAGTGAAGAAACACCCCGTATCTCGAAAATATCATTATTTTTCTGTGCAGAATCACCCCCTAAAGTTTGTCGCACTTATTAATTAACACCCTGTAGAAATGGAAATTTCGTTTATACTCTATTCACGATAATATGGCTATGACTTCACCACATCCACCTCGCGATGTTGTCACGTTGTTATTTTTTCCTGTGCACTATCCCTAAATGTGGCATAAATTAATCAACCTGACAACGTTGTAGAACCTAGCCAAAATTAACGCGATATTTACAATCATGCTTACTCGCTGAAGAAACTCGCTGTAACTCTTAATTAATCCCCGATTGATGGTGTGGATAGGTAAAATATTTTGGGCGATTTTCAGGACTGGTTTTCGCGCCAGCAACTGGTCCTTGTAGTCCTGTTCATCAACATCTCGCTGGCCATAATGTTCTTCAAGCTGTTGACATAGTATAGGCTGAGCGTCGATGGACGCAACTGGACACCGGGCTAGAGGAAGGACGCGGGGATTTTAAGGAATCGAAGGACGATATATCGTTTGTACGGCACGGGATTCGGCCGCGGATCCGCCCGGATCCGGGCCCTATTGGTCAGTCCACGCGGATCCGGGAATTGGGAATGCTGTGCTTGTTTTTGGGGACATTTTCGCTGTTGGATTTTTTGTCAAATTTTATGGAAGCGTTTGCGGCGGCGCCGTTTTTCCGCTGCGCGAGGCCTCCGAGAACACCCCGTACATTGTTTCAGCATTTATTAACGTACGACTACTTACTGTAAATAAAATTTTTCTAATGCTATGTACTTAACGATAATTTTTAATTCGAAATTCGTAGCCGACTTTTGTACAGCGGAAAAACGGAGCCGCTATTTTATCTAAATAATTTATTAATTATTATTATAGGTACTTGACTTGTTATCTATAAGATTTAAAAGCAAAATATATTTTAGTTTCTAGCTTATATACATATATTTATATTTAGACTTGTTAGTCTATTCTTGTTATATCTTGTGGTCGCTTTTCGGTTTGCTGGAGTTCGATTTATTATACAAAAAATAGTTAAATTTCTGCGGGGATTCCGGCGAATCGAAAGGCGGTCGAAATATTTGACAACTCTTGCAAAACCGTCGGATTCAGCAAGGAGAATTTCATGAAATTGGTCGCACAAATATCTAATAAAAAATTAGATTGTACAGATTTTATATAAAAAAAGTAACTATTTAGGGAACATATCTTATAGATTTTCTTTCCGGTTTTACTACGAGCGAAACGCTGGGTAAAATGTTCTCGTCATTAGACAAATATTTTTGTATTCTAAATTCTAGCGAAGAGGTTTTAGAATTTTTCCTGTAATCGTGTATACAAATGGAACATTTTTTGCTAATGTATTTGTAAAAAAATTATTCAGAAAAACTACCGCACCATGCGAATTAAAAACGGGCGCAAATCGACAAAAAATTACTATTATTACCCAATGTTGCGCATCTCGCGACTCTAGCTATACCTGTCGATCTGTACCCACTTTTAACTCGTCTAAAAAAAATTCTACAAATTATATCTTCCTGATCCTGTACAAGGATAAGTTTTTTCGCGTTACCGAATTTCTAACGGTGCCAAATCTGGTGAATACAGTAACGTTTTATCCTCTAAAGAAAAATAAATATTGGAATCGCTTTTACCTCTCCTATACTCTCGTTATTCGATACAAATTAATTATCGAATTCCCTTCGATCTAAACCAATTAATTAACTTTCTTTGGCGCGTAAATCCGTGTTTTTCAGCGAGGTGGAGTAATTTTATTAGATTGTAATTAACGTTCAATTAATCTTGAAAGTATATGTAGAGGGAACTAAGAATTCTTCGTTGATGCTGAATCGAGTGAATTCACGATGAAAATCTGCGAGATTTTGTCACACGTGTAGGCTGTAAACGTTTATTTAAATCAAACTTCAGCAACTTTACAGCGAATTGAAGGGAGCTCGTTTCAGGATTTACAGCGAAATTCGATGAAAATTTTTACGCTTAATAAATAACTTGTTAGAACGTCGTTAGAGAGTTCTGAATTTTGATTTAACTTTTGATAAAATAAACGGTTTTTGTTCTCTTGCTGGCGGGAGATGATGAATTTAAGTTTTGTGAATGAAATTATATACGGCGTGTCTCAAATTTTTTGTCCCATTTAGGGCGGTTTTTCGGGTTCGATAGAACGACTAGGAGCATTTGGGGCGCTCTGTACGCATTCGATTTCGATATGAACATTTAAATGTCTAGCTGTAACGTTCTTATAAATTTATATAAAAAAAAACAACAGAGTTTTTCTAAACTATTTTTGCGTGCCTTGTTCGACATTTATATGATTAAAGACAAAGTAAAATGACGTAGCGTTTGTATAACTTTGCGCGAAAACCGAAAAATTAAAATTTTACTATACGAGCATTATAACAAAATTTCTAGATTTTTATGGAAGCGATTATTAATTGTATCATTTTTGTGTCTATCACTTTATATTTTCGATTAAATAAACAAAGGGCCGACTACATTCTTCCCTTAGTCATATTGACTTTTACTATTCTGCGTTTTATTTATCTCTATACACAGCTAAGTGCAAATTTGTTTGCAATATATTCAATCAGTAGAACTAAGATGGATTATTAAAATAATAATTATTTATAAGACTAATAGAAGTTGTCTTTGTTGCACCAATATTGCAAACAAGTTTGCACTTATACCCATATAACCTTATCATGAAAATGAAGTTCATATTGCCTACTCAACAGGTAAGAAAGTAGGTATTTATATATTATTTTTCTTATATTACATCACTTTTTATACTAAGTATTTTGTATCAATGTCATTATCAAAAAACTAATCGTTTTAAATTAATTTTGACACCTGAAATTAAAAAATTAGTTAAAATATTAAGATTAAAAAAAGTTTTGCGTAAACAATATAAATTACAAGTTTTAATAATGTCGTTAGTTTTTTTCCCAACTGAACTTTATATTCAAATTTCATTAAAGCAATGTATTTTACATATCGTTATACAATTTGCATAAATTTAGGAGAGCGTCTCCAGTTTAAAGTTGTGATTAAAAATCAAACGCAATAAATAACATTATTTTATTTTTCCACGAATAACAAACACAAACACGACTAGATAAAGTAATTGGTGACGTACAAGTTTCAACTTCCTTTTGCACCCAATAAAATATTTACTGTAGAAAATATTTTTCGAAATAATAAGGGTCTGTTATGAAAGTTTATTTTAGTATCATTTTTTATGTTATCTAATTGGATTGTCGAGTAGAATTTGAAGTGTGGGAAAATCTCGGTGCTAATTAGAGCCATAAAAGTTAACAAACCGGGCAATTTCGTAATAGTGATTAATTCTGATTAATTTATTAAAATAGTTCCGTTCTCTTAATTAATTTATGGCTTAACGACAATGCTACGGGCCGATTTGAGGTGATATAACGTAATTTATATAAGAAATTTGCCCGGAATTTGTGGGTAGACATTTTCCAAAACAGGTGTTAGTTGACTTTCTACGGGCGATTAATTGGATTACAACGTTCACATTTAAATTTTCTAAACTATTTATTTTGAATATTCGTACACATTTATCAAAAATATGTAGATTATTATTGCTTATTAAATAAATTCAAAATTTTCTAATAATCTTCGTGATTCAACTAATTTTTTATTAAATATTTCGAAAAAACAAATATTAATTTAATTAGTTTTAGATTAAAAAAAAGTGACAAATATTTCCGAAATTTCATTTCAGGTGTTAAATCAGTTTCGATCCATTTTTTTATTTGCATAGAAAGTGAAAGTTTGAAGCGAAAAGGTTAATGTACTGGGTGCTACAACGGATTTCAATGCAAATGTATACTAAAAATGAGTCGTAAACGAATGAAAAAAAACCTAGAAATGTCCGATTTTTTGATTTATTATTTGCATTTAATCGCAATTTTAATGGACGCCCGAGTGCGTCCTTGTGATAATTTTAAATTTACACCATATAAACAATGTTTTTCGTGCCTCATCATCCTAGCAGATTTCTATCTAATTGAACATTAAAACAATCCATCAAGTTGTCGATAAAAATCTAAGTGTGCCCAAATATGGAGGTGGATTTTATCGTTTGTAGAGATATCTTTTAAAAGGTGAAATTTTACTATTTAAACAAACCATTTACTTATAAGGATACAAATTCACAACAATATAAATTTGTATGAATTTATAATTTAAAGCAAAAGTGCGTAAAAGGTCATTCGCTCTTTTTAATTCCATTACTTATTCTTTTTTTCTACAATAATTTTGCCTAAATAATTAGTAAGTTGAGCGAACTGACAAATTTTATATGTTTATTAACAATAAATGGCGTATTGTCCTTTAAGTATGCACGTAATGATATACTTATAGGAATATTTTCGTTCTCACGATGATTACCATAAAATGAATTTTAATTGGAATCGTTATATTATTTTAGAATTTATTGCTCGTTACGTAGCCATTTGAAGAAATCATAAAATCCGACAAAATCGTAACAACTTCGAACAATAGAACGTACAAACTCGCCATTTAAGTTTCTACTCTTTTTTTGCATTGAATTATTTCATTAATTCCTCCATTGTTCGATTTTGCTTCCAGTGAAATTGTTTTTTATATAATAATAGTAGATGTCTATTTACCCGATTTTTTATATACGAGTTAATTGTCGCTTGTTTTTTTGAGAAAATAGTTTTTTTCGAAAAAATCTATTCGTGGTATAATTGCACTATTTCCAGTACTTATCTCATTTTTCACAAGACGCTCAATTGACACTTAGGTGAGGAATTTTTTATTAATTAGCTACACCGCTGTCTCGCCGTTTAAATACGCTTAAATTGTTATATTAATATACGGGGGAATCACCGAACCAAATTCGAAATAATATACAGGGTACATTCAATAATTCCTTGGAAACTCATCGATGAAATATAGATATTTATGTAGTTACGTAGCTTTAATTTGTTTGTAAACAAATGTTAATAAATTGTTGAGTTTTGAAAACTACTTTAAAAATACCTGACCCGCTTATACATGAGCAATTGCAAATACATAACAATAATTGGAAATACGCTTAAATATTTATTTAAATATTCGGGGAATTCCCAAACTAAATTTGAAATAATATACAGGGTATATTTTTGTGGAAACTTATCTATGAAATGTTAGTTAATTCGCTATCCATAGCCTGATTTTGCTATTAATTTGACCAATTTTGAAAATTGCCAATGATACTTGACTTGAATACACGAAAATACACTTGGGAATCCTCAAACTAAATTTGAAATATTAATATACAGGGCACATTCAATATTTTTGTGGAAACTTATATCTATGAACTATACGTAAGTTAACTTGCTATCCATATAGCCTCATTTTGTTATTAATTTGACCAATTTTGAAAATTGCCAATGATATTTGACTGCGGCTTATGAATACATGAAAATACACTTGGGAATCCCCTAAACTAAATTTGAAGTATTATAATATACAGGGTACATTCAATATTTTTGTGAAAACTTATCTATGAAGCATTAGATACTCAAGTACCATCCCATATAGCTTCCTTTTGTTGATTAAGACGAGTGATTATTAATTTGACGAATTTTGAAAATCACCCAGCACGGCTGGCCTGATGGGCAATTGCAAATGCATAACAAATAATTGTAGAGCCGCTGGTCGCAGTTAGTAGGCCGTGGAAGCGGCTTCGTCGTGGTTGGCCGTGTCTCGGGCACACCGATATATTCACCTGTTTCCCCGGAGTCATTCCAACGCGACCGATCCGACCGTGCGTACCCGCAGTCGGCGCGTATACAGCCAGTCGTCGGTGAAATAGTAGTCGCTACTCGACCGGCCGGCAGTCCTTTTCGAAGCATTCCTCGATATCTTCGCTATTATGTGCCTACTTTGTGTATGAAACGAGTTTGACGGACTTTCTACAGTGAGACATTTTTCGAGTCGGATTAACAACCACCGGGATGTTACTGGAGCTGTGCGATTGGTAAACGATATTTATTTTTCGAATGTTATCGCGTTATCGAATAGGTGGATTTTATTGGCATCGGTATGTCTTGAATTCTTTTGTTACGGTAATTGCGGTATGTTGTTACCTTTAAGTATAAGTAGGCCTCGGCGTTGCTTAGAGCAATGCGCGGTTGGTGTTTCGTTTTTTCAATTTTCACTTATTTATCGACGTGTGTAATTTATTAGTTTTTACGTGCCGTTCGATTATATCGAATTATAGTTTCTAATTTAACGATTAATTTGAATAATCTCGTAAGGTGCTATTACCATTGCATTCCATTTCCGAAGGTGTACACGTTAATGAAAACGAGCAGTTA